AATTGGTATCATAGTATATTTGAGTCTTTAAGGCCAGAGAGCTGATTAGTAATAGGGTATTACACGTTTTATAAAAATGTCCCACTTGGACATGTCTTATGAATTTACCATAAGTTTATCAGTTTTTGTTAGCTTATTAATAAATAGTATATCTTATTTTCATAAACAAGTATCCAGACACCTGATTTAAGTTATTTCTGGGTTGGCTAGCCCCCTCTATGGTATTAGACTTTATACAAAGTACTTGGCATTGACTTACTTTTGATGCCATTGAGACATAAAGATTGAAATAAAATTATTTGGTAGCTCCTAAGGAAAGGCATGCAATTTGATTAATTACATAGGAAAAGGTAGGATCAGGCCTAGTTTTTAATTTTTAGAGTTCAGATTCTCCTTGGTTCCAAAACTGAATTGCACTGACAATGCATGATCTAGAATATGGCAAACCTTCAAGCTAATAAGTAATGGCTAGAATGTCACCTTGGAATATTAAATCTTTCATAGTAGCAAAATAATATTAAATTCATATAAGAACAGAATAGTTTCCCTCAGCAAAACCTCTGATAAGAATCAATTTATGGTGATATTTCAAGAAGAGGTTTCTAGTCAAACCAGCAGCAGTGTCAAGAAAACAGCAACATTAAATCAACCAGGGCCTTATCATATCAACAAATATTTGTGGGGAACCCATCTTGTGCTGGGTACTGTGGGAGGTGCTGAGGGTATAATGATGAACACATAACTTTTGTGCTCATACTACTTACAGTTGCTGGGAGACAGTTCAGTGACAGTGAACACACACACATATGCACATATATAATTATAAATTTTGAAGATCTATAGGATAAAAGTGAAGAGTGCTATAAGACACGTATAACAAGGAGAACTAATTTAGACTGGAGGAGCAAGGGAAGTTCTTCCATGGAGTCTCATATACCCAACATGAACTATGAGAAGAAAATAATCAAGTGGAAAGTGGGGGTAAAAAGATATTTCAAGGGAGAGAAATACATGATGAAGGCCTCAGTTGGGAAGGCATGTAGGTTTTCTTCAGAACTGAATGAAAAACAACGTTATGGGGCCACAGTGAGGAAAAATGGCACACAACAAAGCCCAAGAGGTAGGCAGGGCCCTGAGCATGCAGCATTTTGTACGCCATCATGGGCAAACCATGACTCTATGACAGGAATTGCCTTAACATCAAATGTGGAGTTACGGATAATGATGTCCTCAGCAGTGCAAACAATTTCCTTTGATTCAAGATGTCTTAAATAGGTTCAGTTTGGGGAATGATAGTTTGAAAATAGGATTGATTGTGAGTTATTTGAAGAAACAGCCTTCTGACCTGGTATCCTCTGGGTCCTCTTTAAGTGTAGGTACCGAATGTGTAGCTGTGTGTTTACTTGTAGAGCTGAGCCCAGGTAAGGTAGCAACACACATGTGTTGAGCTGTACACTATTAGGCCCATGACACACCCTGTCTCCTCTCATCCTTGCAACCATCCTATGAGCTGGATATTTTATCTCCATTTTATAGATGAGGACTGAGTCACAGGAAAGGTAGCAAATTTCCACTACCTCGGAAGATGTACCTTGGAACAGATGATTCAAATCTGGGTCTCCTAGGTTTATGTAGTAATTCCTCATGGCCACAACTCTAGGAGCATACTTGTTCCAGGATCTCCTGACATGGGAATAAAAAAGGTCCTTGTAGATGCCAGTACCCTCCATTTCCTCCATTTTATTCATAAATTCAGGCACTCAAGGCTTTAAGCATTTTCTTAATAAGCATTTATTAAAGACTTAGTAAGACACCTGATATCACTGAGAAGAGGGAGAGATGAATGAGAAGAAAGAAGGAAGGGATATAAATATATATAAGACAGAATCTGCCTTCAAGGAGCCTATATTAGGAAAGCTAAGGCTTATATACACATAACCATGAAATAGTGGAGAATGTGTTGGGTCACAAGAGAAATATAAACTAAGATTAATTCCTGCTATGCCTCTGAAATACAGGTAAGATGCTGATGGGTAGAGAGGCAAGGGGAGAGCATTCCGAATCAGGCAGTCATAATTTGGAGGGACATTTCCTCCAAAGTCATTTCAGAACCTCTCTTCTCAGATTAATCAAGCTGACAGAGCATGGAGCACTTTGTTCTTAAGAGGGATGCACGGTCAAACAAAACATATGCTATATGTGGCTGAAATGTATTCCTCATATCCAAAATAAAATATAATTAGACACATTTTAATACTTCCCTAGATAAGAGAGACTTCTATTTTCTCCATAAGGTTTGTTGTTAATTTCAGCTGTACAACTACCACGGCCGGCCACAGGGGAATTAGAGAGAGAGGAAGGAGAAGAGGAAGCTCCTGATGGTGATTTGCTATTGATCACTTTGACGTGCTATCCATGTCCCCAGTAACTCTACCTGGAAGCCTCCTAAAATTCCAGCAAATCTTCTCTGGTGTAGGGTTGGTTAAGAGGGTGGGACATATGGGGAGAAAGGCTATGGACTGAGTTGAATATGATCAATTCCTGGGCTCTCAGTGTGATTGCTTCTTTCTACCCCCTTCTCATTTATGTCAAAAAAAAGACTATGAAGACAGATTGAAGTGAGGGGAACTTTGTAGAAAACCTTTTGTTTTGTTTTGAGGATGTAGCGCAGGAAGAGAAACAGGAAGTGGAAAGACTAGAATATGGAGGCTTTAATGTCAGATTATGGAATTTAGATGTTCTGTAGCAGATAACATAGAAAATCTTGGATCTTGAAGTTTGTTGTTGTTTTGTAGTGTTTTTTTTGTTGTTGTTGTTTTGTTTTGTTTTTTTTACATAACCAGATTCCTATTTAGAGGAAATACCTTGAAATAGGATAGTATGTTTTCCCAATTATAGAAACAAGTCTTATGCATAGAAGATGTTAAGAGTTGTTGTTTGTTTCATGTTTAATCTCTTTCAAGAGTTATTATATGTTCGGTCCATGATTTCTCTAGATATTACTGTAATGGTATTTTTAGGGGAGTCAATCCCAAAATTAATTCCAAGAGAGTCAATAAAATTGCAATCCAGTCAACATTTGACATAGCCGAACAAACATTTATGTATTCCAAATGTCCTTGCAACTGGAATTCATTTCCTTTCTCAATCTCACAAAGGAAATACTCTCTCCTGGTGTTTCCCTTGATATGTAAGGTCAAGGAATTAATTTTCCCTTTTCTTTTTAAGAGTATGTTCAACATGGGGGCTTTTGCTACGTTGCTGTCTGTCACCCAGCCATCTTCCACCTCAGCTTTCAATAATATCATGACCCATAGCCTTTTGTTTCAAAATTGATTTTTTTTTCAGGAAATCAAAGGTGGAGGAGTGTCTCTATTAAATATTGATTTTTTTATAAAGACCTCACTTTCTTTTGTCCTTTCTTCCTTCTTTCCAGAAGCTGAAAGGCAATATTAGTGAAAGGGTTAACAGCCTTGGAAAAGTCCACTCTAGATGTTCTCTTCCATTTAGGTTTGCTCACTTTTCTCTCCTGGATTATAATAATATGGTTTTAATACCATTTCATCTCAAATAATTCTATTTGTTGAGCAATTAACATTTCTATTTTTCAGGTCATTTTAAACCATCACATGCATATACTAAAAGTATTTTAATAAAACTATATTAACTTACAATTTTTTCTTTGAGGTGGCCTATAAAGCAATAGTCCAATCTAAAATGAAGTGCAATTTTAAGAAATAAATTTAGAAAGTATATTATTTTCATCTTATTTCAAATTTCTAAGGGCATATTTTCATTGTATAATGTCCTATAAAAATACTAATAGTAGTTGGTAGTTATCTATTATGGAATACTCACCTCTACCAGGCACTGCTTTACAGAAAATATAATAAAGACCTCTGTGAGATAAATGTGACCACTATGGACGGAATTGTGTTTCCCAAAAATTCTTATGTTGAAACCTAACCCCTAGTATGAATCTATTTTGAGACAGAGCTTTCAGGAAGTTAGTAAGGGTAAATGAGGTCATAAGGGTGAGATCTTAATCCAATAAGATTGGTAGACTTTTAAGAGGAGAAGAAAGAGATCTCTGTCTCTCTCTGCTTGTGATATGCATACCCCGAGAAAAGGCCATGTGAGGACACAGCAAGAAGGTGGCTATCTATAAGCCAGGAAGGGAGACCTCACCAAACTTCCCACCTCCAGAGCTGTGAGAAAATAAATTTCTGTTGTTTAAGCTACCCAATCTCTGGTACATTGGTACAGCAGTGCAAGCTGACTAATACAGTGACTGTCTCCATTTTGTGGACTGGGAAGCAGACAGAGTCACTGGCAAAACTGGTATTTGAACCTGAATATGTTTGACTATACAAGTCAAACTCTTTGGACTGCCCTCTGAATTTTAAGCCAGAAAATAATGAATATAGATAGCTTTTTAAAACAATACTAAGCACTTCATCTGTTTTTGTTTGTTTGCATTTTTATTTTTACTAGGTTTAGCAGATATACACAAAGTCAGTTGATTTGGCTCATTCCCATTCATCATCATCTGATTTTTGTGTTCTAGCAGGATGTTACTATTTGAGCTTTCAGAATCCTAGGTTAATATTAAAAAGTGTAGCCAATCTTCCTGAAATTGCAATGTTGAAAAATCCAAGATTTACTATTGCTGTATTTGCTTGTTGTAAAACATATTAAATACAAAATATCCAGTTTTGTGCCTGAAACTAGTTGGCAGTGTCCCATTAAATCATATTAAAATTAACTTCTATTAATTGGATTAGAAATTCAGTGAGAATGACAGCTGCTAGTGCCTTTTGCAGTTACTTTACTTCTCTATAATCCATATGGCAGAAATAACATAATGCTTTTTTCCCCATTGAAATAAACATTTGAGATAAAAAGGTTTGACTTGATGTGATTAGGGTATGTGTATTTGTTTTTCTTTCTTTAAAAAAAATCTTTTTGTAAAAACTGAACTTTTTTCCTCTCTTTTACAGGTTTTCACCAGCCATATTTTTATATCTGATTAGTATTGTTCCATCATTATGGCTTCTTGAAATGCACGATGAGACCCAGGTATGTCCCTTTGGAAAGTAGGAAAGTGGAATATTCATCAGTAAACTACTTTCATACCATAATCCAATTTATTTCAGAAATGCACTTCTCAAAGGAATTGGAGTTATCAAGAATTGAATAAGTAAGAGGCCATTAGCAAAAGAAAGTGAATTCATCATCTATCAAAACCAGTAAAGATGTTACATATGTTTAAGATTTAAGATTACATAATTAATTAACAACTTACGTTAAAGATCTTGTTCCTAAGCCCCCCCCCGGCCCCCAATATGCTAGCGTTTACATGGGGTAGGGGAGGGTTGTGTGTAAAAATTACACACGGTTAACTTTGCAGATTCAATGAGTTTCTATATTGTACTAAGAATGGGCAGGGCTCAATAATCTAGCATCCTATAAAATGACATTTTTAAAAGTAGCAAAAACTAAAAAGAAACCCCATCGTCTAGACTCTGCTATGTAAAATGCAATCAAACTTGGAACGGATATTTGAAACAGTGTCTTAAAATACAGGCCTTACAGATTACAAAAGATTACTTTTTGAGACCCCCATGAGCTGTTTTAGTGAAATAGGAATTCTACTCTGGAGCCAGACATGAAGGGTAAAGGAGAGGAGTATGAGACCCACCACTGGGAAAGTTGGGCTCTATGTATTAGGATCACACTGACTTAAAAAATAAACAATGACTTCCAATGAGAGTCCCTCATCTATATACAGAGAAAGAGCTACTAATTTTTTTTAATTTTTTATTGTTATGCTAATCACCATACATTACATCATTAGTTTTTGATGTAATGTTCCATGATTCATTGTTTGTGCATAACACCCAGTGCTTCACGCAGAACGTGCCCTCTTTAATACCCATCACCAGGCTAATCCATCCCCCCACCCCCCTCCCCTCTAGAACCCTCAGTTTGTTTTTCAGAGTCCATCGTCTCTCATGGTTCATCTCCCCCTCTGACTTACTCCCCTTCATTCTTCCCCTCCTGCTATCTTCTTCTTCTTTTTTTTTCTTAACATATATTGCATTATTTGTTTCAGAAGTACAGATCTGTGATTCAACAGTCTTGCACAATTCACAGCAAGAGCTACTAATTTTTAAGTGAGTTGCTTCTTACATGGGTAACCTTAGGTATCAGGATCTGGACTAGATTCACAATCTATTGCTATTACTGCTCCTGTACAACCCTGCAGAGGGCAGACTCTAGCAGATTCCAGCCTGGACTTCACATCTTCTGGGCTCAGGTTATGGGACTATGTTACAGATATGGGGTAGTTATGATATAATATTATTATAGTACTTTCATTGATACAATGCATTATTCAAGATAAGAATTTGCCCCTATGCAGATTTCTTTGCTGCAGTTGGTCATTTTATAGTAAAGTTAAGCCTCTGATGTATGTTTCAGATACTCAAACCTTATCTGGAAAATGCTTGCTCCAAATTTTAGGCACACACAGTGAAATTTAGACGTGTGGACTATTTCTGAAGAATTCCACAAGCACATACCAGTAAAATAGGCATGAAGAAAACATTTATCTGCTTTAAGTCCCCTATTTAAAAAATATTAAAGTCATAGGCTATCTTTATGACTGTAGCAAAATATTTTTGTAACACTAAATTGGCTGGTTCAAGTTATCATGGTTTTTAAAAAACTATACCATAAGGAGTTAGGGGACTGTTTCAATTTCCTTACTACTTACTACTTTCAGGGGTATGGAAATAAGCTCTGGTGATTTGAATCATTTCTTTGCTTCACATCCAATTCTATAACATGACTATCATCCACAATAACAATTCATTTCCCCAAATGCTTTTATAATATAAATGCATTGCACAATTAATTGATATACAGGTCAAATCCCATTACAACAAATAGCATGCAACCAAAAGCTCTCTTTTTAATAAAAAAAGATTTTTGAGCCCCAGGCAGTACCTCTCTAATTTTCATACTACAAAAGAAATTGGACCTTTGTAGTAAAGGATTTGTCTCATTTTGACACTAAGAATTAAAGTGAATGCCCAAAGATTGAATTGGGCAGGGTGGGCAGAGGATGGAAGTAGAAAAAAGTAAGAGAAAGGGAGACAAAACAGTATTGGAATTGCATTTAAAGAAATGAGAAATGGCAGAATAAAGGGAGGTACAGCAATTCTCTTAGTCTGTTCATTTAAAAAAATTTGGTTGTGATAATAGCCACTTTTCCTTTCAAAGTATTTCCAAATACATTTTCTCCCTTATGAACTCAGCAACTCTATAAGTTAGGCATGGTATATATATTTTTATTTTATAGAAGAGGACCCTGAGACTCAGAAAGGTTAAGTAATTTTCTCAAGGCCACACAGCTAATCAACAACACTTCTGGGGCTTAGCACCTAGGTCTTAATCTCTATTCTGTTAAACCATACTGCTCTTCTCAGTTATGTGTTCTATGTTTTAGAGGAGTTCTCATCAAAATCATCTGATTTTTTTTTCATGACAGGAGAGTAATTCAATTCCCTCTAACATTTTCAATTTATTCTACATCCTGAATGTTCTAACCTATGTCTTGGCATTAGGAAAACATCCTGACTACCTCATAAAGACATTCCTCCTAGGTGATCAGTTCTGTACCTTCATTTCTGCATCTGGCTAGGTCTACATGACTGGAAACAAGGTGATTATGACAACAGTTATGACTATCACTCTTAGGTCTATATATGAAGTGGCACAATTAAAGCAATGGAAACTTTCTGGTCTTGATGGTATTAGGGTCTGGTTTGACCCAAAGGAATATTCTTGAAGCTAATAAGAATTTTTAAGACACAGCCCATGAAAAAGTGGCTTGTTGGTACCCAGATCATCTACATGAACTCACCTATACACTGCTAAATGGAAACAATATCACCATAAAAACAATACAAGTCAGATTAGGTTGTAGGAATCAAACCAGTTGTTCTTTGGAGTCCTAATGCAGCTGCCCCTTGAAGGAAAATCTCATGAATTTGTAACAAGTAGAATTACAAGAATGGAATGGGACTCAGGTTGCAATATCATAATATGGACTACAAAGCTATTTGCCACTGCAGGGCAGATGACTTTTTTTTTTTTTAATAATCAGATGTCTATGGATTTTTGGTGTTAAGGATGTTAAAAAAAACATATCAAGGTCATCACTTTTAATAAATAGTCTGCTTTCATGCCTACAGAATAAAGTGGTCAAAATTGTTTCCTCTTGCCTATTTGATTCTCAAAAAGCCACTCTGCAATGAGGATTTGTTGCTTGGTTCAAAGATTTAATTTTTTATCTTCATTATCTTTTTTTGGAGCCTTAGCTGTACAGAAAAGAAAGTGTGCAAACAGCTGGATTTTTGCTCTTAGAGATATGGCACATGGCCATTTTTCCTAGGTATTCTTGTCATTTCACCTATAACACTAGTTGTTTTGATGGGGAGTAGAAAAAAAATAGCTTCTTAGACAGACTTTCTACTTTTTCAAGTAGCTTATAGAATGATTGAGGCAGTATCCAGAATAGTTAAGAAAAATACACTTCTTATAGCGTTAGCATTTTTTTAAAAATTAGTTTCTCTTTAAATCCAAATATATTACCGTGGATATGTGGTGGTGGTGGTAGTGATGGTAGTGATGTGTGTAGATGTATGTCTATGTTTCAAAAGTACGTTAGCCCTGCAGGTGTTTAAAAAAATCTTCAACATTTTTTTTTAAAACAGCTTGTGAAATAATCATTAGCTACACTTATATTTTCAAGTGCCGCTCTTTTTCTCTCTTACATACTTTTTCTCTACCTCATATTCCCAGCATCTGGATAAAAATCATGCACAGTTCACTTGTAGAAATTTACATGCAAAACGAAGGAACAAAAAGGGAAAAATATTTAGTTTGGGTCTTTGTCAAATTTTCCAGAAACCTAAGTTGACCTTTAAACTGATACTAAAATATGTATTTTGATAGAGGAACATGTTAATTTTTTTGGTTGTTTCAGTGCTTAACAGGCAAGATTGAAGATGATTGGATTACTTACTTAAGCAAATGGTATTTTAGGTAAAGAGCCTTCTGGACAAGAAATAAACTCTTAGAATAGATGTTTTGACCAGGATCATACATGTTTTAATGCTGCCATTATTTATTTGTTCTAAAACTGGTCCAGGGTTCAAGAGAGAAACCCCAACTATCACTCCATGAATGGCACATCTTTCAAATACCAATAGCAATTTTCACAGAACCAGAACAAACAATCCTAAAATTCACATAGAACCGAGGACGCTGAATAGCTCTAAGCAACCTTGAAAAAGAAAACCAAAGCTGGAGGCATTACAATTCCAGACTTCACGTTATATTACAGAGCTGTAGTAATTAGAAGCAGTATGGTACTGGAACAAAACGGGATACATAGATCAATAGAACAGAATAGAAAACCCAGGAATAAACCCATAATTATATCATCAGTTAATCTTCAACAAAGCAGGAAAGAATATCCAGTGGGAAAAAACAGTCCCTTCAACAAATGGTGTTGGGAAAACTGGACAGCAAACTACAGAAGGATGGGAAGGAAAATGGGCTACTTTCTTATATCATACACAAAAACAAATTCAAAGGAAACTGGACTACTTTCTTACATCATACACAAAAACAAATTCAAAATGGATTAAAGACCTGAATATGAGACCTGAAACCATTAAATCCTACAACAGAACACAGACACTAAATTCTTTGACACCAGCCATAGCAACTTTTTCTAGATATGTCTCCTGAGGCAAGGGAAACAAAAACAAAAATAGGGGCACCTGGGTGGCTCAGTCAGTTAAGCAGTCAGGTCATGATCCCAGGGTCCTGCTTCTCCTTCTCCCTTGGCTGCTCCCCCTGCTTGTGCTCTCTCTGTCAAATAAATAAATAAAATCTTTAAAAAATAAATAAATAAATAAACTCTTGGGACTACATCAAAATAAAAAGCTCTGCACAGTGAAGGAAACAATCAACAAACTAAAAGGCAATCTATGGAACAGGAGAAGATATTTGCAAATGACATATCTGATAAAGGGTTAGTATCCAAAATATATAAAGAACTTAGAAAATTCAATACCCAAAAAACAAATATTCCAATTTAAAAAATGGGCAGAAAAATGAAAGGAAAATTTCATCAGCATTTTAAGAAGGAATCCTAAATGGCATATATTTTATCACCAGACCTAAATGTCTTATTCATTACAGTCTGTGGTCAATCATTGGAGGCAAAGCGTCACGGTATAGTCCAGATGCAGTCATTAAGTGCTAAGTATGAAGGTTGGGAGGAATTCAGTGACTGCACATTTAGGTAACTGCTTTAAAATACATTTGATAGGGGTGCCTGGGTGCCTCATTTGGTTAAGTGATTGACTGTTGATTTTGGCTCAGGTCATGATCTCAGGGTCTTGAGATCAAGCCCCATGTCAGGCTCCGTGCTGAGCCTGCTGAAGTCTGCTTAGGATTCTCTCTCTCCCTCTCCCTCTGCACCTCCCTCCCCACCCCGCTCACACGTGCTATCTAAAAGAAAGAAAGAAAGAAAGAAAGAAAGAAAGAAAGAAAGAAAGAAAGAAAGAAAGAAAGAAAAAAATAAAATGCATTGGATAGCATAAAGAAAGTGAATGACATATCCATATTTCTTAATTCTCAGCTAAAGGAATAGAGTAGTCCCCTCTTTTCCATGAGGGGTAAGTTCTAAGATTCCCCAGTGGATGCCTAAAAATGTGGATAGTACCAAAGTCCATATATACTGTTTTTTTCCTGTATATATATACTTATGGTAAAGTTTAATTTATAAATCAAGTACAGCAAGAGATTAACAGTAACTAACAGTAAAATAGAACAATTATAATGATGTACTATAATGTGGAAGAAGAAATGGGCAGAAGACATGAATAGACATTCCTCCAAAGACATCCAGATGGCCAACAGATCCGTGAAAAGATGCTCATCATCACTCACCATCAGGGGAATACAAATCCAAACTACAGTGAGATATCACCTCCCACCAGTCAGGATGGCTAAAATCAACAACACAAGAAACAACAGGTGTTGGCAAGGATGTGGAGAGAAAGGAACCCCTGTGCACTGTTGATGGGAATGCAAACTGGTGCAGCCACTGTGCAAAACAGTATGGAGTTTCCTCAGAAAGTTAAAAATTGAACTACCCTGTGATCCAGCAATGGCACTACTGGGTATTTCCCCAAAGAATAAAAAAACACTAACTCAAAGGGATACATACACTCTTATGTTTACAGCAGCATTATTTACAATAGCCAAGATATGGAAGCAGCCCAAGTGTCCATCGACAGATGAATGGATAAAGAAGATGTGGCATATATATATGTATATATATACATATATATATTGGAATATTAATCAGTCATAAAAATGAATGAAGTCTTGCCATTTTCAAGGACATGGATGGAGCTAGAGAGTATAATGCTAAGTGAAATAAGTCATTCAGAGAAAGACAAATACCTTATGATTTCACTCATGTAATTTAAGAAAGAAAACAAATGATCAAAGGGAAAAAAAGAGAGATAAACCAAGAAACAAATTATAGAGAACAAACTGATGGTCACCAGAGTGGAGGTGGGTGGGGGAGTGGGGGAAAACGGTGATGGGGATTAAGGAGTGACCTGTTATGATGACCACCAGGTGATGTATGGAATTGTTGAATCACTATATTGTAAACCTGAAGCTAATATAATACTGTATGTGTACTAACTGAAATTAAAATAAAAACAACAAATTCTACAGCTCTGTACAATGAACTTGGAGCATCTACGTCGTCATAGACTTGTGGGAAAGTAAAACATGTATAGTTGACTTCTCATATTAATTGAAAAGTGGTTTTCTATCTTAAGACTATAATCTGAATTTTGGAAATATTTTTGCATATTGTGTAAATCCACATAACTACTCATAATCCCTTAGATAATTGAAGCCATTTTAAATTCTACATATTGTGGGTTTTTTTTAACATATTGCTTTTTTACAAAATTCTTAGTACTGCAGTAGCCATTCTGAAGGAATGTCACAAAATACCAGCAGCAAAGAAAACTTCAATCAAACTCTGATATCAAGTGGACAAGCCAATGGAGCAGAGGATCTCATTAAGACGGTGAGAGATTTTTCCACTGCATTTTAAAGGATCTAGCCTATCACCTTTTCATTTGGTGAGGATAACATTCTCTACACCTTTCAGCTCATTCTTTCCTAAGGAAATTTGCCAGTTGTTTGTTTGGCTCAGGAATTTGCAAAATAATTGTATTTTTATTAATTAAACACATTTAATATGCATATTAGTCATATATATCATATATATTAATAGATATATTTAATTTGCAGCATTAAGTAGCCTTTAACACTTAGGTCAGATAATATATGCACAAGGCGAGATACATATTATTTGTGAAGGAATGATAAAAGATTGGGATCTGGCCTGTATATATTTAGGTGTTATATTAATAGGGAAGATTTCCAGCCAAAAGAGAATCACTTCTTTGTTCTTCACTTGCCTGATATTTGTGAAACTAACCATAGCCTATTATAAAATGGTATATTGGAGAGACTCAAGGCCCAGACCCCTACCAATGAGCCACATTTTCAACAATAAGACAGATTATTGATTCTAAGAGGTTTAATTGAATTAGCCTTGGATTCTAATTCAAGCTCCAATCACAGCTGACTGACATCACTTTGAACAAGTCACTTAATCACTCTGTGTCTCAGTTTTTCATCTGATAATTGAAAATATTAATATTCACCCTGCTAGTATGCTTCTTGTAAGAATCAAGTAGGATGTATGTGCAGTCTCACAGAAAAAATATAAAACACTGTATAAATGAAAGATCATTGATCCTCATGCTTGGCTTCAATCGGGCTAGCATCCTGCCTTGTCTTTTAGCCTCCCTTTACCTCTACACTTGACATCAGTAAGTAATCAAGAGGGATAAATAGGTTTTGAAAAAATGTAGTTAAGTTACTTGTATAAATCAGTTGGAAGCAACTATCAAAGCCACTGGAGACCTACACTCCTGTAGACTTTAAAAGATTATAGCCTCGAGGGGCCAATGATATATTTTAAAACTTATTTAGAAGTTAAATGGGCAAGAGATATTATTCAGAATACATGAAAGGGGTGTAAATTTTTCTCCAAGTTCAAGATTAAGGGCAGATTAAAATTTGGTTGCTAGTTTATGGATTTTTCAATAGTATGTTAAATATTCAGAATAAAAATAATAACTATAGTTATTCTCTTTCTTTGTATTTAGGTAATGAATAAACATTATTATACATTTTCTCATTTGATGTAGTAGTGTTTTAAAGCAATAAAAAACAAGAGATCTGTACTATGTTAAAATATTCCCAGATTAATAAATTCAGACTTGAAATCCCTAAAAGAAAAATACAGGATTTTTTTGTGATTTTAATATGGAATTTAAAAAGTTTTGCTGTTACTTTGTTTTTTTTTTTTTAAGATTTTATTTATTTGAGAGAGAGAGAGAGAGAGAGAGCACATGAGAGCGGGGAGGGGCAGAGGGAGAAACAGACTCCATGCTGAGCAGGGAGCCTGATGCGGGACTCAATCCTAGGACTCCAGGATCATGACCTGAGCCGAAGGCAGTTGCTTAACCAACTGAGCCACCCAGGCGCCCTTGCTGTTACTTTGTTACAGAGAAGAGTAAAATGAGTAATGATCTTTAAAACGTCATGAAATTGGCCCTTTAAATATCAAATGCTACAATCCTACTAGCAAGTGTGAGGTTTAAATTACTTCTTGTTATAAGGCTGCCCCTTTTTAAGGACCACGTTAGCTTTTTTCCCCCAGAGTGTCCAGTTGAAAGTTTTATTTTCTTTAGTAAGTGAAGAATCATTTTCTGAAAATGACCTTCCACAAAAGTTAATTCTTAATTGAAAACCATGGTGAAGAAGGCATCTCTCTCCAAGGTGGTAGCTCACAATCTTCTCTCTGTATGACATTTTTGTTACATAGGCCAAAGTTTTTGTAAGTAACTTATCTACAGTATGTGAGAAAGTTTGGACTTTGGGACTCCATCAGACATTCCTGTTAATGCTCATAATTGGAAGATGGCTTCTACCCATTGGAGGAGGGATCACTCGGGACCAACTCTCTCAACTTCTCCTTATGTTTGTGGGGACAGCTGCTGACATACTGGAATTCACAAGTGAGACCCTGGAAGAACAAAATGTGAGGTAAGCAGGCCTACAAGGTCAGGCCTCCCACACTCGTCTATTTGTTCTATTATTTATATTCTGCACAAATAAGGATTTTCAGTCTATTATATGTCCAATGATAGAATCATAGAATTTCCTAATGTTCAGATACATATTAGGTACCAGCCCAGTTTATATGTATATATATCTGAACTTCCTGTTAAAGAAAAAGGGCAAATAATATTTCCTTTGGGTGAGAACAGAAAAGCTCTACACTTCTGCATGACCATGGGTTAGGTGGGGCCACGGTTGTTAAAAAACCTTCAGGAGGTGGAATGATCATCCATAGCTCCTCTCTCATGTTCTCAAGTGTCCTGGAATGTAGCCAATCATAAAATTCTCTTCTAGAGCACAGCATAACTCTAAGTCCAGGAAAGGACCTAGAAAAGACATAGAGAAATCTCTCCTCTACCTAGTTGGGAATTTATATTCCCTGGTGTGAATGGAGAATGGGGCAGATTAGGTTTATTTTACTAAATTGTATTTTTAGTCAGTTTTGTTCAAAGTGCCTAAAGGCCTTCTGGTATAGATGCCTATAAATTAAAACTTATTGAGTTGGTACTTTTATTTTTGCCATGAGCAAATAAACTCAGAATCCATGATCACATCTGTTTATGGAACCACTTTCTTACCTTTAGGGATTTAAGTCTCAGTGCCTGAATGTACTTTCAGCTTGGGTTGTTTTGTGCTATGTCATAAAAATAAATTGCAATGAAGCTGGCTCTTAATGCTACAGTTTACTTTATGCTGTGTTTCTCAAATAACGAAACATAAAGCCGAGCAAAATACACTAACTTACTGAGTAAACTTAGTATCCCAATTATAGCACAAAGTGTATCTGTAACCAGAGGTGACCTTTACATGATCATTTCCTGTTTCATTTGTACTAATTTTTCTTATACTTTATTAAGTAGACATAGAATTTTAAAAAGAATCCAATTTAAGTTGATCCATTGTCCTCAAAACATTGATGTTAATTTTGTAACTTTAATACCTTATATTTAGTTAGTGCTGTACATTGTAAACAAATTCTCAGATACTTTAAAACACTTGTAATACAATGGGGTTACAAGAAAAACATAAAGAAATCATAACCAGGCACATAAAAACAGTAAATAACTACAGGCACAGTGACAGGGACATAAAAATATAACTATGACTAGCTATACCTATATAGAAATAAACACATACATGCTAAATATCTAGTGAGATGGGAGAGATATGGGGTAGGAAACAGAATATTCAGGAGGGATATGTTTTGTGGGGCTGGTAATTAAAATGTGAGAAATGCCAAATCCGGCTACTTAAATGGTCTGTTTATTAGGTCCATCCACAAATGACACCAACGTGCATTTTATAGATCGGTATTTGCCAATAGATGTTAAATATTCAATGTTAATCATTAAAATCTTAATTTCCCAGAAAAAACATCTTTGAAAATCATGAGGTATTCATTCATTCATCAACTGTAGACTGATTATCTGGTATGTACCAGGCAGTGGGCTGGTTGGAGATTGGGGAGCAAATGGTAAGTGGTGAGAGAAATTCTGGACACACCGTCCTCTCCCAACCCAGGTGATTTCAATTCAGCAATTTCTTCTGCCACCTACAAATTAATCAAATGTTTCTAAAATCTTTTTTTTTTCTCATTTTAAACTTACATTATATCCTCAGAAGTGGTCAAATAAAGAATGCCATGGTTATTGTTTTAAAATTTCTTTTCAGGCTTCATGGTCTCAGACTGAAGTCATTTTATTTTTAGTATAACTGCATTGTGTCAGTGTGTAGTCTCTACTCCCTCATGTCTCCATCACTCCTCAGACTCCAAAGTCAAGGCCCATAAAGAACCTAGAATTTTTTCTCCCTCTTAAAACCCACCTCCTGACCTGTAATTTTGTCACTGGTCTCATCCATACTGCAAGAATTGACACAGCAAATGTCTGTCTCTTCAAAGGAGAGACAAATTCTCACACTGTGGCAAATCTTTCCCCTTTGGACTCAAAAAAGACAATCATGAAAAATAAATTTAATGTACTCATTAAAGATGTTCACTTGTAATAGCAAAGGAGGTTACTTCATTAGAACCCACCTAGCATTACCTATTTTTACAACATTTTATTTTCTATTTTATTTTATTCCATAATTTAGGCTGACAGATTTAGGAGAAAACCTTCAATAATGCATACACTGCAACGATGTCTACCTCTCTTTCCTGCATCCTTGTTAAATACCTTAAATCCAATTTTTTTAAAGTTAAGTCAATTTCTTTCCATATGTCCACTTTAAGTTCATTTGACTAATTCTTATGAATTTACATGGACTTGTGAGATGCTGCAAATTTTTCTTAAGAGCTTGACTTTACACACCATAAAATTCAACTATTCTAATTTTTTGGTTCAATGATATTTAGTAAATTTATTGGTGTGCAACCATCATGAGAATCTAGATTCTTTGTGGCTGTTGGGAGTCAATTCTCACTCCTCCCACGACCAACCCTAAGCAACCCCTGATATGCTTTCTTTCTGTACAGTCTCCTTTTCCAGAAATTTCATGTAAATGGGATCATAAAATATATAGCATTTTGTGTGCGGCTTTTTCACTTAGCATGTTTTAGGATTCAGTCACACTGTTGTATGTATTGGTAGTTAGCTCCTTTTTAATTGCTGAATAGTATTCCATGCATATACCACATTTTATTTATTCATTCAATAGTTGATATACATGTGTATTGCTATCTTCTTGCTATTAAAGAATGATGTTGCTTATGAACATACACTAAAATCCTTTGGAAAGATCAATTTTCATTTTTCTTGGGTCTATACCTAGGATTAGAATGACTGGGTTTATGTTAGTACATGTTTAGTTTTTTAAGAAACTCCCAAACTGTTTGCCAAAGTGGCTGTACCTTTTTATATTCCATTCTTTCACATCCTCACTATTTTTTTCAATATTTTGATTATGACCATTCTATTGGGTTCTTGTGGTATCATATTGTAGTTTTAATTTCTGTTTTCCTAATGACTAAATGAGCATCTTTCCATGTGCTAATTAGCTAATCCCATATCTTCCTTCAGTGAAGTGTCTGTTCAAATTTTTGCCCACTTTTTTGGTTGGATTGATTTTTTTGTTGTTGAGTTGTAAGAGATTGTAAGAGTTCTTTATATTCTGGACACAAGTCCTTCATTAGATACATAAATGTGAATGTGTTTTTTTTTTCCCAGTATACAGCTTGCTTTTCATTTTTGTCATTTAAAAAGTCTTTTTAAAATTTTTTAATTTGAATTCAATTTAATTAACATATACAATATTATTAGTTTCAGAGGTAGAATTTAGTGATTCATCAGTTGCATACAACACCCAGTGCTCACTACATCAGGTGCTCCCCTTAATGCCCATGACCCAATTACCCCATACCCTCAACCCACCTCCTCTCCAGCAACCTTCAGTTTGTTTCCTATGGTATGGTTTACATCTCTCTGTTTTAAAAAAGAATAGTTTTTAAAATTTTTTGATAAAGTCCCATGTATCACTTTTTAAAATTTTAACTAGTGCTTTAGAAGTCATATCTAAGAAATATTTTCCTCACCCAAAACTGGAAATATTTCCCTCTATAATATTCTGACTTGACTTTTGTGTAGTGTGATGTAAGGATCTAAATTTGTGTTTTATCTTATTTTGTTTTGTTTTTGGCATTATCCCAGAACATTTTTTGTCCTAGCTGAGACCAGTTGTCTCTGCAATATTTGTTGAAAAGACTATCATTCCCTATTAAATTGCCTTGATATCTTTGTCAAAAATCAATTAGCCACATATGTAAGGGTTTTTCTAAACTTTCTATTGTATTCCATTGCTCTATATATTTATCCTTATGCCAGTACCACACTATTGTGGTAACTGGAATTTTATGGTAAGTTTGAAACTAGATATTGTAAGTCTTCTAACATTGTTCTTTTAATTTTGGGGCGGGGGGCAGCTATTTTAAGTCCTCTGTATTTCCATTTAAGTTTTATGATCAGCTTGTCAAATTCTCCAAAATAATCCTGCTGGAGTCTTGATAAGGATTGTATTAAATTTAAGCAGCAATTTGTGAAGAAATGACATCTTAAGTCTTTTAATGTGTGAACATGAATTATCTCACCATTTATTCAGATGTTCCTTAATTTCTGTCAGCAATGTTTTGTAATTTTCAATATGTGGGTCTTGTGCTGATTTTCCTAAACTTATTCTTAAGTATTTTTTCTTTTTGATATAATTATTTTCTTAATTTCTTAATATCATTTTCATGTTTTTTATTGCTACTACACAGAAATGCAATTGATTTTTGTATGATCATCTTGTACCCAGCAATAATGCTAAACTTCTTTATTAGTTTTGTAGATTCCTTAGGATTTTCTACTTATAGGATAATGCCATTTGTAAGTAAAGGTAGCTTTCATTCTTTCTAATGTGTGTGACTTTTAATTTCTTTTTCTTACCTTATTACATTGGCTAGGATTTCTAGTACAATATTAAATAGAAGTATAAGAGTGGGCATTTCGATCTCAAAGGGTACACATTCTGTCTTTCACTATTAAGGATGATGTTAGGTATAGGTTTTGCACAAATACACTGCACAGATACACAGATCAGTTGGAGGAAATTCCTATTTATTTCTAGGTTATTGAGGGTCTCTTTCTCTCTCTTCTCTCTCTCTTTTCTTTCTTTCTTTCTCTCTTTCTTCTTTCTTTCTATCTTTCCTTCTTTCTTTCTTTCTTTCTTTCTTTCTTTCTTTCTTTCTTTCTTTCCTTCTTCTTTCTCTCTTTCTTTCTCTCTTTCTTTCTCTCTTTCTTTCTTTCTTTCTTCTTTCTTTCTTTCCTCTTTCTCTTTTTCGTACATTGGATTTTGTTAAATTCTTTTTCTATTTTTATCAAGATTATTATGTCGTGGCTGTCTTTCATTCTATAAATATGGTATATTACATTAATTAACTTTCAGATGCT